CAATGTCTCCCAGAGTTTCCCCAGTGTTTTCTAGAAGCAGTTTAATAGTTTGGGGTCTTAGATTTAGATCCTTGATCCACCTTGACTTGATTATTGTCAAAGGTGAGAGGTAGGGGTTCAAATTCATCTTTCTGCAGGTGGAAATTTTTCCAGCACCATTTGCTGAAGAGGTTTTCCTTTTCCCACTGGATTGACTGGTACCCCTTGTCAAAAATCAGTTGACTGAATAATTGGGAACTTATTCCTGTGGACTCAATTCTGTTCCATTGGTCCACATGTCTGTTCCTGTGCCAATACCATGCTGTTTTGATTACCACAGCTTTGTAGTGTATTTTTGGGTCAGGGAGTGAGATGCTGCCTACTCCACTCTTCTTGTGTAGAGTTGCTTTGGAAATGCAGGTTCTTTTATTATTCCAGACGAATTTTATGATTGTCTTTTCTAGATCTGTGAAGAATGTGTCTGGTACTTTGATTGGCATTGCATTAAATAGGTAGATTAATTTGGGTAGAATTGCCATTTTCATTATATTAATTCTTCCAATCCAGGAACATGGGATGTCCTTCCACTTTTTTGTGTCATTTTCAATTTCTTTTTTTAGCTTCTCATAGTTTTCCTTGTGGAGGTCTTTAACTTCTTTGGTTAGATTTATCCCTAAGTATCTTATACGTTTGGTGGCTATGGTAAATGGAATAATTTTTTTCAGTTCTATCTCCGTCTGCCTGTTGTTTGTATATAGAAACGCTGTAGACTTCTGTATATTAATTTCGCATCCTGCAATTTTACTGTATTCATGCATTACTTCCAGAAATTTTCTATATATTCTTCTACTCCATATTTTTATACTTGTATTAAATGTGTATTATATCCATGCATCCATGTTACATTGGTTTCTGTGTTATTATTGTTGTTTTTTAATTACATTGCAGGTATCATACTTCATGTATCTTGTATGTATCTCGTTTATCTCCTCTTTGTTTTTTGTTTTGTTTTGTTTTGTTTTGTTTTTGGAGAGGTTTTTTTTTGCTATAAGGCATGAGTTTGCCAGAAAGACAGAGACAGACAGAAAGTAAGAAATCACCCCTATGGGGGATGGCCACGCTGCAATCCCTTCTCCTTTCTCCACTCAGGATCTTGGGCATGTACACATACGTGCCTGGTGTGAGTTAAAGCCACTGTGTCCAGGACTTGAACCACAGTTAACTACATGGGAGTCCAGTGACATAGCCATCATGCTAACTGCTGATCCCCCCTCTTTGTTTTTTGAGATTACACCATATGATACACAGCAATCTGTCAATATGGCATACTCACTTGTAGGTGTTATAGAGTGTTCTGTTGAATGAACAGACCATGGTGTACTGGTCCTACTGATATCCGTATAGTCCAGTTTCCTGCTTTTACTAACAGTACTGAGACATGTATCCTTGTTTTGATCTCTTGATGCATGCCACAGTTCCTACATATATCCCTAGGACTTTGTGATTATAGGCTATGCACACTCTCAAATTCATTTTTTTTTTATTCAATTCTCAGAAATGTTCATTGGGTCAGGTAGCACAACCTCCACTTTACACTTGAGAGAACAGAGGTGGTGAAATGCTATGCAATTTGACAGCTTAGTAAGAGAGCCAGACTCAAATCCAGATTGAATTTCACCCATTTAGCCCTGATACCCACAGTCCATATAAATCCTCATCTTTTGACCTTTGTGATCATGAGAGCAATTGCAACCAGCCAATAATATACATGATCTCAGTTCAGAGAATCAAACTAACTAATGACGAGGAGGGGGCGTCTGAAAAAGAAGAATCAGTGGTGGCCATACTCTGTTTGTTGTGGTTATCAAGAGGTCCAAGTTTTAGAGTAAAAACTTGCTCCATGAAGTGATGAGTCTGAGGTCCCCATATATATACAAGATTGTTTATGACAGATGACTGTTTCATGTATCTAAAACACATATCAAATGTAGCATGCAGGCCTGCTTTGGTTAAAGTCAGATGCTGCAGTGTGCCTGATGTTCTATATTTGTTGTACTTTGCAAAGTGTGTAGAGCATTGCTTCCAAGTGAAACAAACTGTCTGAATGCTTTTTTTTCCCCTGACACCCTATTCACTCATGAACCATATACCTTATGGATCTCATCTTTGCTTTTGTTGTTTTCTTCCATTTCTAGGTAGAAAATCTGGAGTATTAACTGTGAGAATTCTGGAGGTGCATGAGGAATACACTGTGCATGTTGCCACATGTGAGCAGTTACCAGGGCTATCCCCCACCATCCCTTTCCGAGGAGTGGCCCCTGGGCCTGGAGCCAGCCTGAAGGTTCTCTTCACCAAGGAGACTGCCGAGGAACTGCGGGTGCAGGACCAGGACATCATTTACGTCTTCCCACCCTGGTAAGTGCAGAATGTTGTGGCCAATAGCTGCCAACTGTGTGTCGAACTCACAAGGAAGGCACTTTTATCAGGAACACTTTTGTCATAGAAAGATACCATGAGAAGGAAGCCAAGATTTGACATAGGTTTCATGTCACAGAGCACCGAATTGTCTCTGATGGCTTGTTTGTACTTCTGGCAGCAGATTTTTGATAATTTGGGGTAAGAAGGTTGGGAAAACAACCAAATTAAGATTCTTGCTCAAGTGGTATGTTACAAGATCTGACTGTTTTTGTTTTTATCCTTCTTAAAAAAATAACTTTGGTAAGAGGCATTATGTGAAAATAGGATAATGCACGTGAATTTCTTATTTCTTTGCTAGTCACTTGAGGGGAATAAAAAGCACAAATGAAGACAGAATCAAGTTTGACCAGCAGCATGAATGGTCATTATTGCGTTGGAAATAGTTTTCAAGGATAACATGTTGTTTTCCTTTTATATAGGATATCAGTTTTCATTATGAGAAAGAAAATCTTATTACTTTTTTTTTTTGGAGAGGTTTTTGCTATAGGGCGCGTGCGCTTGCCAGACAGAGAGAGACAGAAAGTGAGAAATCACCCCCCAGGGAGGATGGCTACGCCACAATCCCTTCTCCTCCATTCTCTTCTTGGTATCTTGGGCATGCACGCAAAGAGGCATTATGTGAAAATAGGATAATGCACGTGAATTTCTTATTTCTTTGCTAGTCACTTGAGGGGAATAAAAAGCACAAATGAAGACAGAATCAAGTTTGACCAGCAGCATGAATGGTCATTATTGCGTTGGAAATAGTTTTCAAGGATAACATGTTGTTTTCCTTTTATATAGGATATCAGTTTTCATTATGAGAAAGAAAATCTTATTACTTTTTTTTTTTGGAGAGGTTTTTGCTATAGGGCGCGTGCGCTTGCCAGACAGAGAGAGACAGAAAGTGAGAAATCACCCCCCAGGGAGGATGGCTACGCCACAATCCCTTCTCCTCCATTCTCTTCTTGGTATCTTGGGCATGCACGCACACGTGCCCAGTGTGAGTTTTAAGCCACCGAGTCTGGGACGCAAACTGTGGAAAACTACATGGGAGTCCAGCAACATAGCCATTACACTAACTGCTGGTCCCAAAATCTTATTACTTTTGAGGAAAAGTAGGAACTACTTTGTTTAAAAGCCAGTTATTAATTTGGGGGGGCAGTTTTTAAAAGTTTCACACATCTATGAAAGTCTTAGATTCTTATATTTGTCATTGACGTACAGACCACAAGTTAAGCTTTCTTTCAGAGGAGGGTTTTTATTTTATTTTATTTAAATTAATTAATTAATTAATTGAGATTCTCTATTTGTTTTTAGCCATAGGATGTGTGTACTCACCAGAGAGAGGGAAAATGAGATATCACCAGGGAGAATGGGCATGCCATAGTCCTTTGTCCTCCATTCTTTACTCAGAATTTTGGGCATATAAACACATACCTGGAGTATTTTTCAGGATGACAGGTCCAGGTCTCAAACCATGGAGTCAACCATGTGGGATCCAGTGCCCTAACCCTTACACCACCTGCTGGCTCTGAGAAAGGATGTTTTTATTGTGTTCACAGTGGTGAACAGTACTTCCGGGGCCCTCCCAAGGTTTCTCCAAGCGGTCCATGTATAGGCTCACACAGGATTTGTTTTCCTCTCTCTCCTGTGTGCTTCTTCCTATCTTTTTCTGGCTTCTCCCTTCCAGCCTTAGTTCTAGACCCTACTCTCTATCCACCAACCTACCTGTGTAATTCCTCCAGTCTTGCAACTTTAAATACCTATTGCCCATGAATGATTACTTCAAAACTGAGTCTGTTGCCCAGGCCTCTGTCCCTCCTCCAGGGCTGCATGCCTTCCCACCTTCCTGCAGTGCCTTGAATGCCACATGGCTTGGTAAGCCAACTACCTGACCTAGCCCTCCTTCCTCAGCATCCTATTCCCACCCTTCCCTTCTGGGGAAGTGTAACAGCCCCAGATGTCCCTGATGTCTTTCTCTCCTCACTTTTATTCTACCCATGGGAACTTCATGGCAGCACCCATTCAGAATCTAGTGTTTCTAGCCTCTCTTGCTACCTTAAAAGTCACAACTCTTTCATGTCATCACTGTTGCTCCCCTAGATTACCGCATTTGCCTCTTTATTGTCCCTGCGTCTGTCCTTCTGTCCTCTGACTTCTCAAGATGGCAGGAGACAACAAATCTATTAACATGCAAGTCAGGGCACACCACCTATTGTCTTCACACTCGTGGGCCTCAACAGAGTCAACGCCAGAGTTAAGCATGGCTCCTGAGCCCTGGGAATGCATCTCCTGCTGTGATCTCCTGTGTCCTCCTTATAGGAGTCCATTATGGCCCCCTGCTGTCCACACTATTCTCACTGCTCCCTGAACAGGGTGCCCTGTCCCTCCAATGGGTGTGCATTTACTCACATATTACCTTCTGAAGAGGCCTTCCCTGGGTTTCAGATCTAACAATGAAACTCTCCCTTCCACACTCTTTGTTTTCCCCAGCAACTTTATTTTTCTCTTTCAGTTGTCACAGACATATTAAAATATTGGGTTGTTGAAAAAGTCATGACTTTTTTAATATTTTTTTAATTTCATTTTCTTTTATACATGCAATCACATTATTTATATTACAAAGTGAATATTTCAATATGTGAACATTTTTCCCTAGTCCAGTTGATAAAATATAAAATTGTCCTCAACAGATAATAACACATTTCTTTGTCCCATTAATGCTTTGCCTCTCTGTTTTTCTTCTAATTGTCCTTCCTCTGACCCTACTCTTTTACACACACTGTATCTGGTAGTCACATCCATTTACTGTGTTTCTATATCTTTTAGTCAATCAGTTTCACTCATACAATGTGGACACTCAGTATTTATTAGGTGGAGATATCCAGTTTCTCTCCTTCATAGCCTGGCTTGCTTCACTCAGCAGTAAATCTTCCATATTCTTCCACTTTCTGTCAAAAGCCAGGGGATTTGTTTTGTTTTGTTTTGTTTTGTTTTGTTTTGTTTTGTTTTGTTTTGTTTTGTTTTACTGGCTGAATAATATTCCATAGAGTGTATGTACCACAGTTTTTCTATCTATTCATCTGTTCATGGGCATTTGGGTTGGTTCCATTACTTAGCAATTGTGAGTAGTTGTTTTGTTTTGTTTTGTTTTGTTTTACTGGCTGAATAATATTCCATAGAGTGTATGTACCACAGTTTTTCTATCTATTCATCTGTTCATGGGCATTTGGGTTGGTTCCATTACTTAGCAATTGTGAGTAGCACCACAATAAACATCAATGTGCAAGCACTTTTCCAATTAAGTATTCTTCTGTCCTTTGGGTAGATACCAAGGAGTGGAATTGCTGGATCATATGGTAGATCTATTTGTAGATTTTTGAGGAATCTCCAAATTGTTCTCCACAGTGGCTGGACCAATTCACATTTCCACCAGCAGTGTAAGAGAGTTCCCCTTTTACCACACCCCCGCCAGCACTTTTCATTTTTTGTTTTTTTGATTTTAGTCATTCTGACTGGGGTTAGTTGGTATCTCATTGTTGTTTTCATCTGCATTTCCCTTACAATGAGGGATGTTGAGCATTTTTTCATACGCCTTTTACCTATTCGATTGTCATCTTTAGAGAATGGTTTTTTCAACATGTTCTCCCATATTTTAATAGGATTGATCATCCATTTTTGGAACAGCTGCTTGAGTTCCTTGTAAATTCTGGATATGAGTCCCTTATCTGACTCATAGTTTACAAAAATATGTTCCCATTCTGAGGGCAGTCGATTCACACCAATTAATGTGTCTTTGCCATACAGAAACTTCTTAGTCTGATGTATTCCCACTTGTCTATTTTGGGGATTATCGACTGTGCTTTGGGGGTCTTATTTTAGAATAAGTCTTTCCTTTTTTCCCTACTCCAATATCTCCCAGAATTTCCCCAGTGTTTTCCAGGATTAGTTTTATAGTTTGAGGTAATAGATTTAGATCTTTGATCCACCTTTACTTTATTGTTGTCGAAGGTGCAAGGCAGGGGTTCAGATTCATCTTTCTGCAAGTGGAAATCCAGTTTTTCTAGCACCATTTGTTGAAGAGGTTTTGATTTTCCCACTGGATTGACTGGTACCCCTTTTCAAAAATCAGTTGACTGTAGGTTTGGAAATTTATTTCTGCAGACTCTATTCTGTTCCATTGGTCCACATGTTTCTTTCTGTGCCAGTTCCATGCTGTTTTGATTACCACAGGTTTGTAGTATATTTTTGGGTCAGGGAGTGAGATGCCGCCCACTCCACTCTTCTTTGGCCGAATTGCCTTGGCAATACGGGATCTTTTATGATTCCAGACAAACTTTATGACTGTCTTTTCTAGATCTGTGAAGAATGTGTCTGGTACTTTGAGTGGCATTGCATTAAATATGTGGATTAATTTGGGTAGAATTGCCATTTTGATTATATTATTTCTTCCAATCAGGAACATGGGATATCCTTCCACTTTTTTGTGTCATTTTCAATTTCTATTTTTAGCTTCTCATAGTTTTCCTTCCAGGGGTTTTTAACTTCTTTGGTTAGATTTATTCCTAAGTATCTTATACTTTTTGTGGCTATGGTAAATGGAATAACTATTTTCAGTTCTATCTCTGTCTGCCTGTTGTTCATATATAGAAATGCTGTAGATTTCTGTATATTGATTTTGTATCCTGCAACTTTACTGTATTCATGTATTACTTCAAGAAATTTTTTCATGGAAACTATTAGGTCTTCTGTATATACAATCATGTCATCTGCAAATAGAGTTTCACCTCTTCTTTTCCTATTTGAAAGCCTTTTATTTTTTTCCTCTTTTCTGATTGCGTTAGCGAGGAATTCCAGTACTGTATTGAAAAGGAGTAGAGAAAGTGGACATCCTTGTCTTGTACCCATTTTTAGTGGAAAAGCTTTCAGCTTTCCTTCATTCAGGGTGATGTTCA